CTGGTATTCCCCTTGAACTTGAGATGCGAAAAGTTGGGAATCAGTGAAAATTTGTATCTTGCGAGCGCCCAAATCTTCGGCCAGTCTTAGACCTGCAAGAAAGCCTCGTATTCTGCCTGATTATTTGAGGTCAGAAAGGAGAGAGTGAGCGAGTGTTCGATCACGACACCTTCCTCATTTTTGAGGAGGATTCCTGCTCCACTCTCAGTCGAGCTGGAAGCTTCGTCCACAAAGATGATCCACTTGTGCTCCTTTCCTGCGGGGAGGGGTTGTGAGCGGCCATCTCGGCGACAAAGTCGGCTAAAGCTTGGGCCTTTAGGGCCTTCTGGCTTTCGTACTGGATGTCGAATTCTGAAAGTTCCAAGGACCACTTTAGCATTCATCGTGCCATGTCTGGTCGACCTAATAGCTGTCTCACGAGATGGTTTGTTCGTATGATGATTGTGTGTGCGAGGAAATCGTGTCTGAGCCTTCTCACCATGTTGACGAGGGCTAAAGCCACCTTCTCGATCTGTTGGTATCTGACCTCGGTCCCCTGAAGTGCTTTTCTCATGAAATACACGGGTTTTTGACCGTTAGGAGTCTCGTGAATGAGGGCCTCACTGACGGCTTCGACAGAGACGGCCAAATATAGGAATAATGTCTCCCTGTCTAGTGGTCGTGATAGAATGGGCGGCTATGAAAGGCTTTATTTGAGATAAAGGAGGGCTTGTCCTCACTCCTCAGTCCACTCGAAAGTTGCCTCCTTGCGCAGGAGTTTGAAAAATAGGAAGGCGTGTTGAGTGGATTTCGCGGCAAAACGGAAGAGCGAGGCGAGCATACCATTTAGGACTTGTATGTATTTTTTTGAATTAGGTGTAGGGAGGCCGGAGAACGCCCGACACTTGTTGGGGTTGGCTTATATTCCTCGTTCTGTTAGGTAAAACCCGAGGAATTTTCCAGCCTTGACCCCGAAGGTGCACTTCTCGGGGTTGAACCTTCTTCTACATTGTCTTGCTTGGGCGAAGACTTTTCTGAGATGAGCAGCATGGTCGGTGTCTGCTCGAGATTTGACGATCATGTCATCCATGTATACTTCGAGCATATCTTCGATCTCATTGCGAAAGACTTTGTTCATTACCCGCTGGTATGTTGCTCCGGTGTTTTTCAGACCGAAGGGCATTACGTTGTATTAATAATTACCCGAGCCGGTCATGAAGGCAGTGCAGTGTTTGTCGCTCATTTTCATTGGGATTTGGTTATAGCCTGAATAGGCGTCCATGAAAGATAAAATTTTATAGACGACCGAGTTGTCTACCAGCATATCAATATTAGGAAAAGGAAATGCATCTTTGGGACATGCCCGGTTAAGATCAGTATAGTCAACACACATACGCCATTTTCCATTTTTTTAACGAGTACAACATTTGACAGCCAGGTTGAATACCGGGCTTCAGAAATAAAATTTTCTTCTAGAAGGTCTTTTACAGCTTTTTCAGCAGCCTCCGTTTTCTCGGGGGACTGCCTACGCCTACGTTGTTCTACTACTCTAGCGGCTGGATCAATGGTGAGTTGATGACAGGTGACCTCGGGGACGAGACTGGGCATCTCCGTGGCGCTCCACGAGAACAGATATGCATTCTCTCTCAAGCAGGCCTTGATCTGCTTCCTCGCCAGGTCGGGGAGTCCGGTGTCAATTTTCACCCCTCTGTTCGGGTCTTCACCGAGAGGGACAAGCTCGAAGTCCTCATCCAGAATTGGTCGGAGGAGCTCCTGCTCGCTATTGGAATATTCGTCTTGGTCGAAGTGGGTGTCAACGAGATCGAGTCGACCTTTGGAGGAGCCCTCTGCACTTCTGCCTTGATGGGCTATGGCTCTGACTGCTGTTGCGGCTTTCTTGGCGAGTCGTGCCCCAGTGTCGACTATGTTGTGTCCCTTGGCTGCCGCATTGAAGCATCTTTGGGCAACTGCTAGGTCACCCTGGATGGTGGCGATGCGTGCCCTCTTTGTGTAGAACTTCATCTTTAGATGGACGGTGGAGGGCACCGCAGTCAGCTCTGCCAGTGTCGGTCTCCCAAGGATGAAGTTGTATAGGGAGGGGCAGTCGATGACCAGGGAGCGCACCTTGACTTGCTTGGTAGTCGTGTCTTCGTCGAAGGTGACCATTAGCTCCACGTACCCCCATGGCTTGGAGGTCGAGCCATTAAAGTCCTGTAGGTCGGATCCCACGTATGGTGAGAGAGAAGTGGGGGGTACCTGCAAGACACTTTGATGCCAAAATGAGTTTGGGAATGAGCAAGCAAGTATGAGAATTTAGAAAGTGTTGAATACCTGACCCTCTCAGAAGAGAGAGTATTTATAGCCCCCAGCACTGGGCCATGGTCCCCATTATTGGGCCACGTTGAGGCTCAGTAATGGGAACTACCAGGGCTTACGTGTGTATGGAGTCCAGCAAATGGACTCCCCCCTGGTCAACTGCTCCGTGAGAATAGGGGTTGAACCCGTGATTCCCGGAGGGCAGTTAAGGTGAATGACCTTAGGACGTGGGCCACGTTCCCCAATGGAGATGTGGGGAGTTTCCCAACGGTCCCCAACTTGGGTTGTCTGTTCTTTGGGCCTTACGGTTTGGGCCTCCTATCCGAGGGACAAGCGTAGGTCCAGTCCAGATCAGTAAGAATACCCAAACCTCCAATAACTGGTTCGGTTTGGACGACTTGCAATCTAGGATACGACTTCGGCTTGCCATAGTTTTTGCTTAAAGTTTTAAAACAAATTTTAAAGTGAAAATTTTCTTTGGGAATTTATTCCCACCCCCTTTAGATAAATTGTTGTCGTCAGACAAGTTTCATCAAACATCACAACCTTGTGAAATAACACTATTCAACTATAAATTACCCATTTCAAATTAAAAAAATATATAACATTAACCTATCATTTTCGGTGTAAATCTCATATTTTGATGTTTTCTACATTCAAGTTTTCATTTATACAAACTTAAATATAGATTAAATTATTTAGAATACTCTTGAACTTTGACTCTAAGACATTTTGAAAATACTTAAAATAATATTTAAAAAATTATTACTTGTACATTTAACTAGGAATCTTTATCTAACATATTTGTTATAATTAAGGGTAAACCAGGTTCATAATTTCTCTAGTATACAAAAATTGATATACTTAAAAACTATAGATGTCACTTTTATTTAAAAAATTAAATAAATGCGCAACGTGGGTCATATTTCTGGCTCATGTTTATGTTCTTAGTTAAAGACATATCCAACTTTAATAACAGAAAGGGCTATAAATATGAATTCATTAAGTAGAAGTGTGGATTCACCAAAGTATTTGCAATTGATTTCAACATGGTGGTATATTTCTTCAAATATTTGCTATATATAATATTAATACATCTAAGTAATTAGCATTGTTAAATTTAATACATTTATCTCACACGAGGGTTAGTTATGGAACCATGGCAACCACTAGTACAAGCACAGTTTGTACAACAAGAAGCAAAGCTAGCTGTTTCTTTTAAAACTATGAACCAAACAATTAAATTACATTTAAGAACTTAATAAATTAAGAAACATGAAACATGTCTTTGTATTCTTATATCAACGTGGCACATTCTCAAGCACATACAAGAAACTGCTATCCTTCCCCTATTGATTATTGGAAAAGGGGAGGTGCATCATGGAAATGTCCTTAAGAACTTGTTATTGAGAGATCCTCCTCCATGTGCTAAGATAGTGTTAATCTTCTCCTTAAGACCCTACTCATTTCAATTCAAAGTTTAGTTTAGGCCTCTTTAATTATTTTTTAAAAAGTTGCTTTTTTAGTATGTCTATTTTTAATATAAATTAATCAATTTTTATACACAATTGAAGAGTAAAAATTACAACAAAAAAAAAAGGATAAAATTCTCTTTTAAAAATTTTTAAATTGTTGTATATTACATATTAGACTCGAATCTCAACTTCTAATAAAATTGAAAGAAATTTTTACCATCTTAATCGAGTGTTTTTGTATTAATTTTATTTATTTTAATTTGTTAATAAGAGATGAAATATTCTTTAAATGAAATATTTTAATAGATATAATATAAAATTTTATTTAAACATGTTTATTTTTGAAAAATAATAAAAATATTGATTAGGATATTTCTATTGTTTAATTATTTATTGAAGGATTTGATCTCTGAAAGCATGTTTTTATATTTCTCATAATAAATTAATATAATTAAATTATTTGTATTTAAAAATTAATATTTTTTTCAAACTTAATAAATTTTTTTTTATAAAAAACCTCAACTTTTGAATATTTTAAATAAAAACCTTTAATTTAGTATTTAACCTATCACTTTTTCACAAATTTAATTTATAAATTATATAAATATAAAAAATAATTATTAAAATATATGAAATCCTTCACTTTGATTTTTAAAATATACAGAAATTCAACAATTTAGTTCTTAAAAATCTTAATTAAAAGATAACTTAATGACATTTTAAAAATATTTATATAGTTTAATAATTAAATTGAAAATATAATAATGATAATAATTTGAGGATTAAACTAATAGCTAATTGATTATTTTATTATTGAAACTCTTAACACCAAACACTAGCTAATCATTCACAAGTTCTTATCCAATTATTATCCCTTATAAACAAGTGGAAAAAAAATATAAAACTATAGCCATCAAATGATATTGATGTTGGTCTATAAAGTTAGGAAGAAAAATAGTTGGGAATGCATGTGCAGTAGCATGGCCCACAATATTAGCGGTTGGGAAGCCCAATCAAAACAAAAGCATGTGCTATTGATTTGTCACTTGTTATGTGGCTTTTAGGAAGAAAAAAACACATGAACATGTTCATCTTTTGATAACAAAATGTTGCTTATAAATAGAGCTCCCTTTAACCATATGACATCACAACACAACACAATACAATACAACATAGCAAACAAAGTTCAACTTCCTCTGTTTTTTCTTCATAATGACTCAAAAGCTTAGAATGGGAGAGCAAGAATTTTCTATTGCTATGATGATTCTATTTGCTTTGTTTATTAGCTTGAATATGTTAAGTGTTGAAGGTGATTATGGTGGTTGGGAGAGTGCTCATGCTACTTTCTATGGCGGTGGTGATGCTTCTGGCACAATGGGTGAGTTTGTTGTTTGTTTATTTTAATTTTAATAGCGCACTTTATTATCCGTTTATCTTTTAAAAATAACATATAAAATATAATGTTTTAATAATTAAAAAAAATTGACTCTCTGAATTTTAGGATCGGTGATATAGTACAAACTGCACTTGTATTAGACCGACCCTGATTATAAATATTAAAATATATTTAATATTTATAATTTTGAATATTATCATAAATATATACGTTTTGTCTTATTTATAGGTGGGGCATGTGGATATGGAAATTTGTATAGTCAAGGATATGGAACAAACACAGCAGCATTAAGCACTGCTTTGTTCAACAATGGATTAAGCTGTGGATCTTGCTATGAAATGAGATGCAATGATGATCCAAGGTGGTGCAAACCTGGTTCTATTATTGTTACTGCTACAAATTTCTGTCCACCAAATCCAGCTCAAGCAAACAATGATGGTGGATGGTGTAATCCTCCTTTGCAACATTTTGATATGGCTGAACCTGCTTTCCTTCAAATTGCTGAATATAGAGCTGGAATTGTTCCTGTCTCCTTTAGAAGGTTAGTGTAAATCACATTCAAATACGATTTCAATTCCAATTGTGTACGTCTAAAAAATTAGGATAATGTCACTGATCTTATTTTAACTATCAAAAATTAATACTATTAGGTTGGACGCTAATAAAAGAGTTCAAACTCTAATATTCATGCGTCAGTGAAATTTTAGTAATTATTACTATTTCGTCTAAAGATAAATATAAAACGTGACATCTAACTGTAAATAATACACTTTTTTTTAAAAAAAATATTTTTATCTCATTTGGTTATTATTAAAAACCCAAAATCACTTTTTTAAGTTATTGAATAATTGACTAAATATACGTTAATGTGTCTAACAAGGTTATTATTTTTGTGATGATTTTAGGGTGCCATGTTTGAAAAAGGGAGGAGTAAGATTCACAATAAATGGTCACTCTTACTTCAACCTAGTTTTGGTCACCAATGTGGGTGGTGCTGGTGATGTTCATTCAATTTCCATCAAAGGCTCAAGAACTTCATGGCAACCTATGTCAAGAAATTGGGGCCAAAATTGGCAGAGCAACTCTTACCTTAATGGACAAAGCCTCTCATTTCAAGTCACCACAAGTGATGGTAGAACTATAACAAGCTATAATGTTGCGCCAGCAAATTGGCAATTTGGTCAAACCTTTCAAGGAGCTCAATTTTAGAGTTTGCAATATGAAAAAAAAGTTTGTATACTTAGTATGTTCATTCATCAATTTGAATGGCCTAAAAAGTTTCATAAGAGGTATTTGATTATTGAGAATATGTTAATGTGATTTTGAGAGACCAGTGTTTATTTGATTGGTCTGTAAAGTAGCTGAGGTGGTTATGTAGCACCCGCTGGTCACTTTATAAATATATAATTTAATATAATATACATAATGGAGAGTTTTATGTTTTTTTTTTGTAATGTGAGAGAGTTCTTTTCAATTGATATTAGTATGATTGATAAGAGAAATGTTGTTATTTGAACTTAATATTTGAGTATCTCATAAATAATAAGGAGTAACAGCTTAACTTATTGTTTGCTTGTCTTTTATTTTTATATTAATCTAATTTTTTTAATATTAAACATTATATAAAAGAAAAAGAATAAGTGATACAAATATTTGGTTAAATTATAAAATATGTGTTTGAAAGTTGATGAGAGGAATGTTGTTTGAACTCTTTTTTTTTTACTTGTATGTCATAAATATATGGTTGATCACCTCAACTACAACCTAGATGATAGTTGGGTGTTGTTCTTGATGATTGCAAGGTTATTGTTGAGTTGATGGACAAGAAAGAGTGAAACAAATAATAATTAGAATCAAATTAGATATTTTAATAGATAAAGATTCAATCAAAAACAAATTTAGAAATTAAAACTTATGTGTTAACAAATTACAAACAATTAGCTAATAACATAGATAAAAATAGTAAAAGAATGATAAAAAGACTAGAAGAATAACTCTAATGTTTGATAATAAAGTTACATTTTTTTAGAGAGAAACTCTAATCTAATCTTTGTGAGACTTTACGAGAGTTATTAAAAATTAAGAGAAAAATAATGTCAATTGTTGGAGATAAACAATTTTAAAATTTTTCTTTTTCCTTTTAACTTTCAATGACTTTCACTCTATAATTCAATTAAAAAAAATTGAATCCTCTCCTCAATGATTTCTTACTATCTAAAATTTTTATAATGTATTTCTCAAATTTAAAATGCTTTCAAATTTCAAGAACATATTCACGCAGTTTTTGACCAATTACAAAAGAGTTCTAAAAAACAAATTCAAATGAAAACACAAAAAACAACATAATTTAAATCATGTTGATAATAATGATTGAAAATCAAAATTCTAGAATAAAACATGAATGGAAAATGATAACCTAATTTAAATCATGATCCAACGTGATTTGGATCATCAACACAACAATGTCGAGAAACATATTTATAGGTTTATATACCACAAATCTCTACTTTGACTTCAAATCAACTGTGATGCTCAACTTTTACCTATAAATCACTTGTTGCTCTCTCCAAATTGAAATTATTCTTCAACAAAATTGATCATGTCCAAACAACTTGAATATTAGATAATGCCACAATATATAGATAGAGTCCATAGTTTTGCATAATTTTCATCTTCAAAACCCTCCATTAATATCTTCCTATTGAAAATTTACTGTTATTTCAAACCTCCTTTCAATGACCAATTTAATCATCTCAAAACCGACTTTAATTTTTTTATGCATTTAACCCAGATTCGCTTTTAACAAGCTCCTTAAGCTAATTACATATGTTAAGTATGAACTACCATAAAAGATACCATGAATAATGTTTCCTACCTTACTAGCATATGGAGTAATGTCCATCTTTCTCTTTTTTTTTTTTTTTTTTGGATTGAGAAGATGGTATAATTGAAACCTTCACATGATGACTTAAAGGAGTGCTAAATGACTTAAATTTGTGTTGTTGGGTTTTCATAAGATATGCCTTAAAAAATCAAAACTCCGAGCTAAATAAACTTATTGTCACGGATCATGTAAGCAAAAAAAAAAAATCACAAATCGAGTTCTTGTGTTTACCTCTTGAAGAGGTTTCCTCCTCACCTCCGGTTTCACCTGGCACCCTCACAAGGGAGAAGCGATTACAATTTTGCCCTTGCTAAAATTTCCGAAATATTTGGTTAATACCGGATTTTATTTTAAAATTGTCAAGTTGGGCAGAAACTTTCTGAATTTTTCGCAAATGTATCAAATATTTTGCAAAATGTTGTAGAAATACCATACATTTTAGAAATTGTCGGTAAAATTGCAAGAAATTCTTGAAAATGATGAAGAAATATCAAATATTTAAAAAATATCGTATAAATTTTTTGAATATTTGAGAAGAACCGATAACATATAAACACTACTGAAATTTTCAAAAAGTCCGACATGTGTTAAAATTTCTAGAAAATTTGAAAAATCCGATAGACAGTAATGAAATTATTTAAAAAAATATACTTTTTGGCATTTATAACAAACTATACCAGATAAAACATATACATATAATGCAAAAGTGGTATAATACCATTACAAAACAAATTGTGTCAACTTCCTAGCTTCTTCTTCCCAGAGCATAAAACGTCCTACATATGTGATTCCCATGCTATGGCCACTTCAATAGAGTTCTATCTCCAACGGTCTATGACGAGAGGCAAATGAAAATTAGATTTCAACTTCACTTAAATCCAATGATTATTGTTAACAAAACCAACTGCAATCATTTTGTGTCTACTTAAAGTTATAAATGGAGATATCACTAATGGAAAGAATGTGATGTTAAGGTTCATGGACAACAAGACCAATATAACATTGTATTTATAATCAATTGGATAACTCATATCAGGAATCGTCATCCAGTTATCACAAACCTACACAACCAAGCCTGATATCTCCAAGGAACTCCTAATTTCCGGTGTCGTGTCACAAAACAAATTGGAATACAAATGATTGTGTTGATAAAATTCAGTATCTAATTGCTTCTGAACCAACGTTCAAGTCTCTTCTCCCCATCCAAGTAAAGATGAAATATCCCAAAGACCACAATTTCCATCGTCACCCATATCAACAATGTCATCAATGTACTGATGTAATAAAACAAGAAATTGAGACAAATATTTTAGTTTTACCGACACACTACACAATTGACTTTCACTTAGTTTTGTACATGATCTTTTTGTACTCTGAATTCCCTACGAGTCCTCAATATACTCTCATTGTGAAGGATCACGATGCAAATAACTCTATTCATTCTTTTTACTCTTATTATTTTCTTTCTTTGACTTGTACTTCACTGGTGGTGGACACACGCTGGTTGTGGATTGATGTGTTAGTTCGCGAACTTTTTTCTTAATCGCCCTCTAACCTACAATATTCGCTGTACTAAAATACTTATTTATCCCGTGACATTCTTCTTCTAAATCTGACAGTGTACGAAATAATCAGAACATACAATTTCAAAATGCTTTAGGTGTACCAAATAATCAGTCTTTGTATTCGAATACATGATGTTGTTCCACATATCCATAAGATGTTCACGCCTATGTGATTCGATGTACTCCTTACACTTCATACTAACATTTTTGAAAATATGGAACAAGCACAACAAATGATTTGACTTTAGAAACATTACTTCCACATCATTCATCAACGCCAATTCACAGTCAGTAACCAAAACACGTGGTAGCAACTTCTCGGATATGAGAAACTCTTTTAGCTACTCTAAAATGTTCCATATATGCAAATCTAACTTAAAATGTCAACTTTGTCGATGTAAACCAACAATCTCAAATAGTGGCAGTTAGTACCTGTTTGTTTTGTATGTACATTAAATCAACAACAACTTCCAACAACCTCTGAAATAAAATAAATCAAAATAGAAGCAATTGACATAAGAATTACCCGTTTACTTTGTATGTGAAATCAAAAATCAAAACAATATGAAACGTGTTCAACAACTTTACTAAATCAGGGTGCGTCGAAAAGATATTAGCAATAACATTAAGAGTCCACATTTCCTGTCCAATACATAATTTCCTGTCCAATACATGATTTATCTTCATGAATAAGACTCATGAGATGTTGTATTTCAGTGAACGAACCTATCTTACTCGTCTTGTATCTACACCTTGCCTTGTGGGTCTGGATAACACTTGCTAGGATTTTTGAATCTTTATCTTTCAAACCAGTGACAATGTATCTGGGAGCCATATTGTATTTGGTCATGTCATTCATAAATTTTCTTTCATGATCTTTAAAAGGACCTAATATGTCATTCCCGTCTAAGTTTTCAACTAATACATGATTGTGAAACCCACACCTAATCGTAACCTTGCAACCGTTTCCACTTGGCACAAATCTCAGAATAAATGGACATTTCACTTTCATAGTATAACTTCATACAATCACATCCATCTTCTTATAATATCCTCATCTTTCACAAATCATATTCAATTTATCTTTCTGCCCTCTCATCCAATTTACGGTATCAGAATGAATATTAACAACAATAATAACATGTTATTTACCAATAGACTTCGCCCATGCCAAAACATCAGTCCGGGAGGAAAATATATGACATTTACAATGTATACAAAAAAATTATCAATGTGAGAGATATCATAAAACTATTTCAACTAAATAAAAAGTAAATATTTATGTAAAACATACCACTCAGTGGTGAAAAATTGAGCAAAATCCATAAGGGAACCATCAGGATCACGACCGCACAATTGAAGCATATTGAATTACTAGATTTTTTATGTTCAAGTAAAATATCCAATATATCGGATATTTCCAAATATCCGGTATACAACAACTTTTTACCGTTTTTTTTAAATCCTCGGTAATAAATGGTAAATTTGCAAAAGGTTTTCGGATTTTTTCTAAATGTCTAGTAAAATTGCAAAAATGCTTTCGGATTTTCGCTAAATGTTCGGTAAAATTGCAAAATGATTTCGTATTTTTTATAAATATCTCGTAAAATTGCAAACAGTTTTCAGATTTTTATAAAATTCTGGTAAAACTTCAAGAGGTTTCTAGATTTTTCCAAATATTCGGGAAAACCTCATACCTGGTTTTTAAATTTCTAATAAAAATGCATAAAAAGCCTTTCTTGCAAAAACTTATGTACTTG